GTCTGAAAAGATTCTGTAAATAAGCGCTAGCTAATAAACCTTGCTGATTGAACCTACATGGACTCCAGGAGTTCCTTGGGCTAGGCCTGACAGATAAGAGGCAGCTTAGCCCGCAGAAGGAATAGGGGTGTGGCAAACATCTCAGAAGGGACCCTCCCTAGTTTCTTGGGCTGGAAAGGTGAAGGGGAAGAGATGTACTTTCAGACTTGCAAGATTCTGTTAATATAACCTTACAATCAAGTTTGAGGTAGTACTTCTGCGTGTTCTTGTTTGGACTACCTTGCAAGGCTTGCAAGTCTGAAAGTACATCTCTCCCCCCTCACCTTTACAGTCCAGTGAACTAGGAAGGGTCTTTTCTGAGATGTTTGCCACACCCCATTCCTTCTGTGGGCTCAGCTGACTCTTATCCAGTCATTGCCTAGTCTGCAGCTCTTCCCCCTGTCTCCCAATGTCATTCCCACAGACCATTACAAATGAAGCACTGATTTGTCCTTGCTGATAAACACACAACAACTATGGAATTATTCCCCTTGCAGAGTCAATCAAATCTACCTCTTCCTATTTTAGAGGAGACTGAAAAAGTATTATACATTCAGAAATCTTTGTGCAATAGAGCACTCTGTTGTTTTTTGTATAGACTCTGAGGTGTGGGTGCTTGGCTCCTCCCCCCCCCGCCCCTTATAGATTCATTGTGCTTGTATCCTCAAAGCTCCATTAGGAGTTTTTTGATAAAGTGAGATCTAAACAAATGTATCAAGTGCTCAAGTGGTTGCTGGTTGAGGAAGAACATTGGACAACCACACTTCCACCTCTCTGCCCTTCCGTACCTTTTTGGTGCCCCTTTTGCCTTGAACTAGCCAAAGTGGTAGGACTCGATTAAATACCTTTAATCTGAAGATGGCTGACATCCAGTAAACAGGAACAAATTGAACACAGGGCAGAGATCGATGTGATTATGGGCAAGGGAGCTCAAGCAACGATGGGGCACTCCAGCACACTAGGTGAAGATGGATGAGGGTTTGAGATCATCTGTCTTTCTGCATTTCTCACTGATGAGCCAGAGATGAATGGCTGGAAAGAAATGAGACTTTCAACACCTGAGGATGACAAATGAGTTTCAGAAGAACTGCCACAACTTCTTTGAACAAATTCAAGCACCCCTTTGTCTAGTTTCCTGCCATTAGAAAAAGTATAGAAGAGAACTGCTACCACAGTAGAACTTTGAGGTAGATGTTTGGGGTTCACTACTGAATGAAGCAGAGTTGGAATCTTATACAGGGAAATAGAGATGTGTTGTCTTCTAAAGAGGCCCCAGCCCATTTAACCATGAGATCCAAGGTCTCAGTGATCTAATTCCACTGTAGCTGGAAGTGTGTGGGGAGCTGAGCAAGAGATGGCAGATGTTACTTTTGGATAAGCCAGCCACAGTATGGCTCTTCCAATATTGTTTGTTCATTATGTAATCAAACATTTTGGAATATGTCTAAATATGTACTTTCCGGCCCTAATTAGAAACGGGGCTTCACTCCACCAGTAATAAAAGGAATATGGCATGTAAACAATGGCCTTTATTGATCATTGGTGACCTTTTCCTCTTGGTATTATTCCAGTCAGTTGTTTTTCCTGCTCCTAATGGTAATAGCTTTATGCCTTTTCTTAATGCATTAGTTTGGTTGGAATAAAAGAAAAGGATTTTTTCCCCCCAGATAAATGATGACAAACAGCCGGATAAATAGTTGAATTGTTAAAGATTAAAGATTCATTGAATAGCTGAGTGATAACCTCACACTGCTGCATAAGCTTTGCTTTTCTGATAGTAGGAAGAATGTGATTCTTGAGTAGGTGGGGCCCACCCAACCCGTCAACATCTGTATATCCAGCCAATCAGCATGGGTCTAAGCCACTGCAGAATATCCGTTAGAATTTTCGGTAGGAAAGAAAATTCAAGATCTAATTTGTAAACCCGGGATCCCAATTTAAGGATTTCATACAACTTGGTGGAGGTTTTGTTTTCTTAAAATGATGCTATAGAGCAGTGTTTCTCC